GCTATAAGTCTAAGTTGAACCTAGCTCTACCGTATGGCTCTCCAAGATCCGCGAAAGTTTTCCATATAGGGAAGTTATTGAAGATCAAATGTTCGATTCATTTTTGGGACACCCTGTGTATGCATATGCAAACTTTTTGACCCAGTAATCTGCCTTTAGCATTCAAAGCAATATCGTTGCACTCACTTTTACTAGAACGCAAACGTCAAAGATGAAAATGCTTCTTCTTGAAAAAAAAGCTTGAGCTAACTGAAACTCTTTAGACTATTTTTTAAGTGCAACCAGAGTGCACCTAGAGAGCTGTTACCCAGGCAAGTGCTGCGTGGCTTAGCTATACATAACTCTGCTGGAATGAAAAACCCTAAACAAAAAAGGAAATCAAAAGCACGACCCTCTTTTTTTGCCTGCAATCAACTGCAATAAAATCCTTAAAAAGATCTGAGAGGTGCAAGTGACATAAAATGCATATAAACAGTGAAATCAAGAAAACCAAAATGTTAAAGTGCGCTAAAGTAGTCATTGTCATCTCAATTATGTAAGACTCTTATCTTTCAGTTCTCTACAACAACTTGTTGGCCTACTGCTTTCGATGGACAAGGTAAGCAAAAGTGCCCTAGAATCTTACCTTTGTCCAAATGCTTGGTAAGTATTTTATTTGGACGGACGTAAACGAAATCGAAAGTAGTATACTGTCTTTCGGCGAAAGCACGAATGACTTTTACAGAAACAACGACAGTTACAAAAAGAACGTCAGCAACAACAACAGCTGCTGAAACAACATCTAAAGCTAGAACAACAAGGCTGCAAACAACAACATCCACATCGATGCCGATGACAACATTATCGACATCAGCAGCTGCAACAACGTCAGTGACAACATCTACGACAAAGCCGAGGACAACACTACCAGCAACAACATCTACAGCTGTGAAAACAACAACGCTACAAGCAACGCTTGCAACAACGCTGGAGACAACACTACCAACAACAATACCTACAGCAATGCCGACAGCAACAGTGCCTTCAACAACACCTGTGAAGATGTCGACGACAATGGCAACAACTACCAAGACCACAGAGAAAACCACGACCGCTCCCCCAACAACAGAAGCCACAACCTCAAAAAGCACTACAAGGGCAACCACGACCATTTCCCTAACAACAGAAGCCACAACCTCAAGAATCACTACAAAGGCAACCACGACCATTCCAACAACAACAGAAGCCACAACCTCAAAAAGCACTACAAAGGCAACCACGACCATTCTCCCAACAACAGAAGCAACAACCTCAAGAATCACTACAAAGGCAACCACGACCATTCCAACAACAACAGAAGCCACAACCTCAAAAAGCACTACAAAGGCAACCACGACCACTCCCCCAACAACAGAAGCCACAACTTCAACACTCAAAACTACGACGCCTACGACAAGGACCGTCACATCTACAGTCCCTATAACCACTACAACAAATGCGACTACGACTACGACGAAGACTACTACCTCTACTGCAAGGGTTACTACTACACCTACGTCATCGCCATCAGCTCCGACGACTACGTCCACCACATTGGCGAAACCAATCACGATAACACAAGCAACTGAAAAGATTATTACTATGCCTACTACTATGTCTACCACTTTCCGGTCAACTTCGAGAAGGTATTTCTTTGCTCCGTTAGCAATATATAGTTGTTCTCAACCTTCAAGCACCTGGGTCGGAATGTATTAATCGCTCGTTCGGCTACGTGCTTCCGTACAAGTCGTAACCCAGGAAGACATGCGCGCCTACGCCCTTAGTGCGCAAATTCAAACGTCTGATCTGTAAGAGTCTGGAGAGCGGGATTGAGTACGTCTGCAAAGTGGGCTAACCAATCGGTCTCCCTACTATAAATCATGTGAAATAGCGCATACTGAATAATTTTACTAGCCTATTCCCGCATCTAAGCACCCTTTTGATAAATGCTCGAAAATGTTAGTAAACGAACAATTTTTAATTGTGAACGAGTAAAACTTGACAATTACTTTGCTGCAAAAGATTTTCTTAGTTTAAGCTTTGATTTTTTTGATTTTGAGATTAGCAGGCAAAGTCCGAACCGGAGAGATCGGGATCGGGCTGTTGCGAAAGTGGAAATCAAATTAGAGCAAATCACAGATCACAAAAGTCTCCTGTACATAACAAAACAACTACAAAATCTTTCTCATTGATTAGTGAATATTTTTTACTAGCATTTTCCAGCACCTTATCAAATAGCGCTATTTCTCGTATTTGATAGTGACCAGATCGGGTAAGTTAGCCTATGTTGTTGATCTAGCCAATTTCGCCTAACCGGGCTTTTGCACAATCAGGTGCCCACGTTGGAACATTGCAAGAGTAGAGCGGACTCGTCACAATAGATTACGAATGTACGTAAACGCTTATCCGAAAATTGGTGCATGAATTAAATATAGTTTGCTCCTGATGGGTTTATTCGAATTTGAATTTGAGCATGCCAGTTGCGGTAGGGCGGGCATCTTCTACTCAGTTCAAGCTAATGTTTATCTCTGTTTTTTTGTCGTTGCATGTTATTTTTTGTGTTTTTACTATGTTCGCAATTCAAATTGACCACTTCGTTGTTCTAAGCGATGTTACTGCTCATTTTGATTCCGACTTCAAGAAATGATGCCAAATAGGAAATATGTAACATAGCATTCGCTAAAACAACCCTCCAGCGCATGTTTTTACCAAGAAAATGTTTGAAAGCAAAATTACCAATCTTTATCGTAAGGGAAACAGGCTGTTGTTTGAAACTGCAAGCTGAGTGCAACGCGCTCCACCGCGACTGTATTACGCGCTCATCGAGTTCGTTCACCACTACTGTACAGGCCATGCGAAGGCGATGCTCTTCTCAATGCAACCTCAATGATACGCTTACGAGCTAGTCTCTCAAACAATAATTACAGATAAAAAATTCTTACAGCTTCGCTTGTCTGTCTCACTCTTTCAACACTAAATAAGATATACATTGTTATTTGTGGACTTTTGCTGCTAGGTCAACTCGCTCGTACTGGATTGCACAGGTTGCAGTCATTGCGCAAAACATAATTTCGTTTATTCAGGCGTGTTCCCTTTGTACCAGTTACTAAGAAAGAAGAAGACTACGATGATGAAGAGGATGAAGAAGAATATCTCCCTTATTTGTAAGCGCTAAGATACCACTTCAAAATACGTGTGTACATAACTATACACAAATGTTACATCCTATCGAAAGAAACGTTGCTTTTGCGCATAAAACACAATAACTATGCGCAACAGTCCTTGTGACGTCTGTCTCACTTCATCAAGCAGCCAACGAAATTATTTCTGATTAGCAAAGAGATGAATGCGAAAGCGGGTTTGCAAAAATTTGGTTTCAGATTCTGGATTTTGCCAATTGCAATAGCAGTCCTGATTATCTGCATGATTATAATCATTGTTTATTTTCATATTCGTAACAGGAAGGCAAGCACTTCGAAATCATCTAGAAAAGGAAAACGTTGGTATTAACAGCAGCGTTAAGACATTGTAAATCAAGCGATGTTTTTAGCGGGAAGTAAGCGCAGAAGAAGAAAGAGAAAACATTCGCCGAAGTTTCACAAAAAGGATTTGAATAGGACAGTTATTAAAGCGTTGAGCATGATATCATTAGTACGTTTCTATTTCAAAATGTTTTTACCATTGCTATTTATGTGCGAGCTTCTCTAGCACGCCCACTAAGCACAATAATATAGCGCCCGACAACCCTTGTAGCTACTGCCACGTTTAAAGGCAGCGTCCCCTCAAAGTGATGGGTACAGTCTAGATAGTCTGTCAATGAAGTTTGGAGCGAAAAAGGCTTCTGAAAAGCCCAAAATCCGCCCTAAAATCTTCCAAACTCCGCACAGTTCTTACACGTAATTTGGAGCAAACGCGGGACACGGGTAGTTTCGAAAAAGGCTTTTTTTGGCCATTTTCAAGCGCTGAAGAGCATAGACATGGCTTCAGCATGATGAGAGCTCCGATGAGGTGAAAAGCTGGAGAGCGAAATTTTGCCTGGACACTGCCTTTAAAGGCAGAATCTCCTCAGCCTCAAAGTGTTCGCACATGGCAGATACAGTCGAACACACAGCGTTTACCTGTTAATACTTGCTTTCGGCAAGGATACACCAGAACCATCTCGTTCGGGTTTTTCTAACATAGCCCTAAAAGAGGTGGTTTTTTTAGAAATTCATGCTTTTTGAGGCCATATTTGGAATTAGCGTCATGAATAGGCTTGAGTAACATAATACAGAATTCGAGAATCTGCCTGGGCGTTGCCACGCTTAAGGTGTGACTAGTGATTGTAAGGAAAAAGTGGAAGACGATGAATTTGAGAATGTGTACATGCGGTTGAGGAGTGTGGCCGGAAAGTTTGATTATTTAGACGATACCTCGAACACCTACAAGGCACATCGAATCTCCTAGTCACAAAAGTTTGTTCTTGCTACCAAATGTCGCATCTACATTTTGTGCTTTCCTTGCAACATATGAATTAGCGCAATCGCACATAAGCCCCATCGCTCACTCCCTTCTCTATCCCTACTAAGCAATGCATCATTTTTCTTATAATTTTTCTTTTTTTGAATGTTGCACACTCATTCTTTCACCCTACATAGGCTGAACTACAACTGCGCAGAAACTTTCTGAATTTTTGGTAGTAGCTGGAAAATATACACAATGATTGAAAATTGTTAAGATTTGAGGTTTCGCAGGTTCAAAACAATTAACAGCATCGAGTCAAATTGTAGGATAAATGTTGCTACAAGTTGACTCACGAGATCTGGTGCCCTCGTGAAAATTGCTGTCATCTGATCTGCTGCGGGCATCCGAGAACCTGAAGAAATCTTAGAATTCGCCAAGTGTGACATTCAGAAGAAATCTTGTAGAAGAAGTTGCATAATATTTGCCAATCCATTTTGCAAAACATTACTCTTCGCAAGTCATGATCAATTAGTGCTATCATGCTTTATTCACCGGCATCATTTGCCAGAAGTATTGCTCTTCTACCAGGCATGGGGAAGGTACTCTCGATGATCGCTCAAAAAACGATGTTCATCTCATGGAGCAGCAACCACATGGGACATAATGATGTAGGTCGGGATGAGATATAAAAAGATTGTAAGAAACTTCTTCCTAATCCTAGGGCTTGCCTTTATTGTAAGAGCCGATTAGGACGGTCGCACCCTAATTTAGGTCATTGTGAGGCAGACTAGGTTTTTATGACGTCCAAAAATTATTACGGCCTTTAAAATCTAGTTTTTTTTTTTCAGAAACCCAAAAAGATGCAATCAGCAGATATTGATTATAGACATACTAAACAAGGTGCCCTGGTAATGCAGACCGAATATAAAGGAGATGTGGTAAGTACTTTTGTATCAATTTCAGAGGTATTGTGCGATAATATTCATTTGTCTCCTAGTATAGACATGATTTACGTTACAGAAAAGTCTGCGCAGAAAAGTTAACAAACTTTCCAGAAACATGAATTAGATGAGGAACAATCAGAAGCTATATCTCATGTAGCATTTGACCCTAGTCAAAACTCTATAGCTTACATAGGGACACAAGTAGAACAGCTTGTAGGGGTCAGTTCACATACATTGAACAAAAAAAACTTAGTTCCGTCGGACATATCTATTTTAGGGATCACAGATGACATTACCCAAAAGTTTAGAAGAAGTAGCCGCTCAGGTTCATTTCATGACATAATGGGCCAAGGTTTACATAGCCTCCATGTGACTAATTTTGATTCAGGCATCAAAAGATAAAACAACTACGTCAGTTCAAGTGACTGACGCATCATCTGATACAGTAAAAGGACATTCGAGTGATACAAGTCGTTCAAGAGAAGAAATGAAAGGTCCTTCGGCTTCCGCTGAAATGCTTATGGCAGAAAGGAACCGTTGAGAATTTGATCAAAAAGCAAGATGGAAACATATATTGCAATACTCTAAAAGTAGTCGACAATTCCTTCATACCATTTAGTCACCAGTTCTGCATTCAGAATTGGTGGTATCTCATTATCATTATTAAAATGTGTTTTGAGCTTAAAGTAAATTAGCATTCTTGCCCGGATTTATTTTGTTCGTTTTAGTCAGCAGATCGATACATTTCACTAGTTCAGAAACAAATTACTTTGGCATGCGTAAGATTTGGGAATGAAGAGATTGTGAGGGCGTATTCAACATTCATATCTTGTCGTAAAATCTAACTCCCGTAGTTTTGTCACTTATTATCAACAAACACTGGTATTCACTAAAATACCTCGAGGTAACTTGTCAAGATCAACTGTACTTTGGGAAGAACTCAGTGCTGGATGGACTAGGTAAAATCTACTTCGAGGTAATAATGTCACTAATTCAAGGAGCGATTAGCCTTTATTTTCAGCTACATACTCAGTGCAACTTCTAACCCTAGTCGGAGGCAAGGTCGAAGGCAGCGTCCGGGCAGATATGACATTGTGGCGTACGGGGGCTCCCGCCCTGGTAAAACTCTTGCCCAAGCGGCACCAGTTTTGCTTCCAAAGCGAGAAAACCTTTTCAGAAGTTACTGCGAACGCCCGGCGACCTGCCGTCCCTTCAGTGATAGCCATAGTACGTGTGTAGCACAGGGTAGGGGAACCAAGACCGTCAGTTTGAGATGCCTTTCGCGGCCAACTGGTCCTTTTGCAGTGCTGCTGCATGTCGTTCCAGGACCAGTACACCGCGGAGGCGGCCCGAACTTGCGGCATTCGTTCCCCTACCCTGTCGCACACAGGCAAACGTAGGGTCCCACCACGTCTGCGTTTTGACCTCGGCGGCAAGCGTCAATATCTAAAATCAATAGCTTCTGGAACAGCCCATTTCGACATTTTCGTACCCTGCAAGCTGCATTTTCGGGAGCAGCGGGAAGAATAAGGCCAGGTAAGCGGGAAAATCTTTTTGAAGTTTTGTCCGGACGCTGCCTTTAACACATTCACGACAATACGACCCATCGGTGGGTTCGTACTACTAGGCACTGCAGGTTACGATGGAAGAACATGAGATGTCCGCACATATTTGGAGATATCTAGGGAAGCCTAACTAGGAGACCAACTTTTGGTCCACGACCCATTGGCAATCGAAAAAAAGACACGAGAAAGTTGACACCAGTGAGTCGTATGTCCGAAACGGCAGAAATCGACAAAGTGAATGTCGTGAATGTGTTACAGGCAGTGGATCGGCAAAATAGACTTCCCTAAAATTTTGGTGGGGTAGGTAGCAGGCTCCCAAGCACACTGTAGGCCAAACTCCACCTGCCAGTTCATGCCCTAAGTCCTGAGAAATGCGCTTCAAAACTCCACTATTCCCACCTACTTCCATTGAGAATTAGTCGTGAATTGTATCTCTTAGTTACACACGATTCATGACAAGCAAAGAGTGGGCGCCGTTGCATCTGGCCAAGATAATTCGTGGATGTGAGAGTCAGCAGTTTAAGAACGAAAAAGCGCTCGATCAGTGAGACGCCGATATGTACGCAGTCTTTGCGTGCTATGATTCGCCTATAGATCGAAATGTGAGGGACCCAGCAAAACTCTCGCATACCCCTATTTCACAAATGCTGGAAAGGTCTTAGGAAACTATGAAAAAAAACTCAGGCGAGTTTTTCAATCTTAGGTGACTGCAAAATCAAAATGCAGAAGCATGTCGAAAAGTTGGGAATTTCTATTAGACAAGTCGAAAGGTTGAAAATTTCTATTATGACTGTGTTCGTCTATGACTGAACAAGAGGAGGATCCTCCGGAGGCATCCTTCATGATTGCAAAGAACCCTTTAGATCTATGCAATTATAACTAAAAGTAGTTGATTTTCCAGATAGACTTTAGAGCCTGAAATTGATTATGCAGACAATGTCCTTCCAAAATCACTCAGTATAACACTCGAAAGCCCTTGAAGAAATGTGCGAATATAAAACCTTCAAGGTAACTGTGTCATGCCATTCTCCATATGTGAGGACAATGCTGGCACAGGTATATTTAACCCAAAGAGACAAAGTCTGATGGATACCAAAACGATATTTTAAGGTAAAATGTCCTTGTGGTAGCCAGGAGAGCCTTCATCTCGTCTGTGTTTCATACTATGCGCATCATTGTAGGCATGGGTGGAGGACTATATGTTGCCGAATGTGGGAAGATCCCGCGCGGATAATGCAGCAGATATCAGCCGTGCATGTTTGGAATGTGTGTTTGTTGCAGACGTCCGGTAGGACCTTCCATTTTCGGCGACATATAGTCTCCTACCTCAAAGGCAGCGTCCGGGCAAAATTTCGAATGGAATTTTTTTCGCTTACCTGGGCTTATTCCTCCCGCTGATTCTGCAAATGCGGCTTGGAGGGTACGAAAACGCCGAAAACGGGCTTCTTCAGAAGCTCTTGATTTAAATTTTGTCACCTGCCGCCAAGGTTAAGACGCAGAGTCGTTGTGGGACCCTACGTCATGGCTGTGTGCGGTATGCGCACTCTGGCCCATCGAACTAAGTCGTCCCGGTCGCCGGGGCGTTCCGGTCGCCACTTCTGAAGCGGACCTCTCGCTTCAGAAGCGAATTGGTGCTTTACCAGTTGGGCAAGAGCCTTACCAGGACGGGCGCCCCTCTACTCTACATTTTCGTATCTGCCCGGACGCTGTCTTCAAAGGCATAAAAGAAGTGCATCAAGTAAAGTCACCTTTTGGAATAATTAACTTTTTATACAAGGTAAACCGTTCTACAACGATATGCTTATAAAATGCCTCTCGCTCCAACTGCGAAGGCCCCAAGCCGTTGTTTTTAACGCACTTTTTGTATCCACAATTTATTGTGGTAGTTGGACATAGCTTACCATACCCTAGCCAAAGAAAATACCTGTTGAAGAGAAAAAGAGAAACTTTTGGCAGGCCTGTAGAAAAAAAAAATGTGAATAATATGTGATTTGTGAGACAAAAAATAAACAAGATTGTCGAAAGCATGGCTACTCGCGCGCCTTTTTTTTATTTGAATTATGAGCCGAATAGAAATTTGCCAAAAATCGTCCTGTACCCCCTCCTCCTGAAAATGTTCCCAAACTGCTGCTAGAATTGGGAGTAAGATAAACCAATTCTTCACTTTCTGCTGCAACGCTCTTTTCTTGAACTACTCTTGTATACGCTTTAGCCGCTGCGCGAATCCTGATTTCAAATTTTGCTCCATTTTTCTGTATATGACCAAATATCTTCAGTGAAAGCTTAGCTGTTTCACTACAAGTAGAGCAGGTGCCCTATTCTCCAATAGCGGTAAATTGCTGAGCGCTCTGAAAGGTCATTTTTCTTGATCTAAAAACTGTATTGAGGATTGATCTACTGAGTCTCAAGACAACATTTAGTTGCAGTTATGTGTTTTATGTATAAGAATGTGCTATTACTATGAAGATTTTGTGTAAAATACCAAAACTTTCTGGAATTGGGACATCAACAGTACAGCCTGTTTTCCTTGAGTGTCGCTTTTCGTAATTTGCTCTCCATGTCCATATCGACGATATTGAATTTCCAGGCGTTGAAAATAATGAAGTTTCAAAATTTTGGCTGCCGCCTGGCTTTCGGAAAAGATTACCTGCAAAACTTCACGTGAAACAAGATTTTCGAGTTCTTTGACAAATTTCGTTTTTAAAAAAAAATTGGCAATCGAAAATTCTGTCGAACATTGGGCTCTCAAAACCCAAATAATCCAGTTCCAAGATATTAGGTCGTCCAGAAAGTTCTGTTGCACCATTTTCAAAAGTTCAGAACTTCTGGTTATTCCAACCAACTTGAATGCTTTTATTTTTATGTGAAAGGGTAAGTCATGCTCTTTATAACGAACGTCTTAGCTGCTTACTGATGGCCATCTGTTGCATAGATAGGAGCGATAGAAGTAAATCGGTCAAAATTCGAATTTTCTGTGTAGGGTCGTAGAAAACCGGAAACTTGCAACAAAAATCGGTATTGTAGATTCTCTCACCAGCTCTTTCTAACAGTGCAAAGTTTGCGCCGATTGAGCGTCTCTATGAAAAGTTATGATTTTCGAACAAGCAATACAAAAGGGCGAATTTGATTTATTTTGGCATTTTCAGGGAAATCGTAACTTTTCATAGAGACGCTCAATCGGCGCAAGCTTTGCACTGTTAGGAAGAGCTGGTGAGAGAACCAACAATACCGACTACTCCGATTTTTGTTGCAAGTTTCCGATTTTTTGTGAACCTACACAGAAAATTCAAATTTTGACCAATTTTCTTCTATCACTCCTATCTATGCAAAAGATGACCATTAGTAAGTAGCTAAGACGTCATTATAAAGAGCATGACCTACTCTTTCATAAAAAATAAAAGCAGTCAAACCAGTTGAGAAAAAACCGAAGTTACGAATTTTTTAAAATGGTGCGACAGAACTTTCGGGACGACTTAATATACAGTGGCGGTCCCAGGATTTCGGACCGGGGGGGGGGGAATTTTTTTCAAATGAGAGTGCGTGGCATTAGCCACGCCCCGAAAAAAATTATTTTGCAGGGCTAATTTGAATTTTTAAAAAATTGCAAAAATCATCCTAATTATTTACAAGAATAAACAGGTCACGCACATTTTCGATCCATGTAAGTAGATTTAAAACTTAAAAGCGTCTGAAAACTTTTTGTTAGGATTTTTCGACCTGGTGACTTTAACGAATGATTTTGTACAGTTTGTAGGGCGATTTCGATGGTAAAGTCAGCTTTTTAGTAATCGATAAGAAGAGCGCACTATCTATTGAAACAGTGAGCCTGAAATAATCAAAGCTTTTCTAGTCCTATTCGGGAACTTGGGGTAATATATGCTCTTATTTGCGTAACTTTCTCAAAGATTCCAAATGTGTTATTACAGCTGTGATGAGAAATTGGTGGTCTTTTTTTCTGTCTCCATTCTTAAATTCACCCTAGTAGCCCCAATTCTCATGCTTCAATGAGCCTTGAGATATCTTTCATTAGAGTTAAGCAAGCTCTACAAAGTGCAAACATTTGCACAAATTTTTTTCACATCAAGTTTGGTAAAACCTAAAAACTATTAGGTCGTCCCAAAAGTAGACTCCTTTCTTTAAATTCAAGCTATTTTTGCTTTCCTAGTAGACTTAAAGTACCATTCTATAAAGCAGATCAAGTTCTACCAAATGACCGTCAAGGGTCTACCTAAGTTCCTATTCCGTGCAATGCTTGAAGCCAAAATCCAAAAAGAATTTTCTCACCTGAAAATTGGATTTTTGCGAGGAAAAACCCTACGGACCTCCAATTTGGTCATTATACAGTAAGCACATAGTAGTGCTCAAATATGCCTTTACTAAATTCTTGCGCGTATAGAAAGCGAGGAAAAAAGATAGCCAAGAAATGGCAAACTCCGCCCTCAGCCCCTTCCACATATGTCAGTGTACACCTACCTACAAGTCGTACAAGTGTAATCTCAAAACTTTATCCCTAATGCTCTTATAATCGAGAAATACCAAGTTCTACATGAGAAACCCTAAAAAAGTGGCATTTTGGCATTTTCGGACCATCTTTGTTCCTCAGCTTTGAGCCTCGGAAAAAAATCCACCAAATACATTTTTGGATGCCACGATGTGTCTACTACTATATGAAGACCAAGTTGGAAGTCCGTAGTTATTTTCTGGAAAGAGATTTGATTTTCACGTTAGCCGGAAAATTTTGTTTTCGGCTTCAAATTTTGCCTGGATTATGACTTAGGTATTAGATCCTTAGTGGTCTTTCTGTAGGGTTGCTCCCAGGGTTGAGCGTGGGGTCAGGCGCGCCCGACCTGGGGGGTCGTACTGGGGTAAGACAGAGGGGGGGGGGGTCGTGATTAGGAATCGAATTCGTTCGATTGAGGAGATACTACGATTAAGGTGAAGAGAAAAAGCGCTAGTATAGTGGATATCGCGACCTCACCAGTACTGAAGGAAAGAACGGTCTTAAACAGCATACTGATTGATTCCACAATCGAAGTTTCGGCCAAAACTCAAATCTTCATCTTCTACCTTGACATATTATAAATCATCAAGGAAGCTTGCTGTGTGAAATGGGTATCATTTCCGAGCACGTCAAATTACCTCTATGAGCCCTACAAACCATTATTTACTGCATTATCTAGTGTTTCTCAACGACTAAAAAGCGTGATTTTCAAACATGATTAACTTGTTTTCAAAAGTGAGAAAAGTCAATTTTTTTGTACTCGTAACAAAGTATTGTTCCCTACTAGTCTAGGCTAAAAATCGCGCTTTGTATCGCTTGCAAATAGTGTAGTAAGAAATAATGCCAAAATTCCGACCGGCGCGTTCTTCTCCATGACTGCTTCAACTCCACGGATTACCACAAGGCCGAAACAAGTCGAATCAAGTCCAAACACTTATTGTGGAATCTTCGAGGGCTGTTCTAGCAATTCACATAAAACTTGAATAAAAAAGCTTCTTCAATGATAAAGTTAATCGGGTCAGGCGCAACCTCATGAAAGGTCAGGCCGCCTGAGCTTTTGAGGGGTTGCGCCTGACCCGATTAACTTGCTTTCAAAATCTAAAAATCGCTCCATTTCTGCTATGAGTATTGAACTCAAAGCCTCTTCTTGCAATACTGCGAATTTGGAGCCAAACAATACACCCCTGTGGGAATTATAGCTCTAAAAGTAGGGCTATCCAAAATCCAAAACTTGCCGTCAAGTTGCGTGTGCTGTGCAATCGCAGAAAGTCGACCTACAGACCTCCAAAAAACAAGAACCTCCCAAAAACGGCTGATCTCTTCGAATTATCACAGCCTGAGGTCCTGGAGGTGAAGCAGAGGGGTCGTTTAGGGGCTTTCACTGGGGGGGGGGGTCGTTTTGGAAAGACTTGTGCCTGACCTCTTGCTCAACCCTGGTTGCTCCTCTCTATCGAACGGTTTTCTAAGCCTGTTGGAAAAACAAAAACAGCTCAAGTTATTTGAAAATGGAGTTTACTTTTGGGACAACCTAATAGAAACCCAAAGAGTAGAAAATAATCAGAGCTCCTCCCAAAGAGCTTCTACAGGGTGTCCCAAAAAGATGTGCACACTGTTTGATCGTTAATAACTCTCTTGCTTTCATGTCTTTTGCCGAGCTTGAGGACCATTCTTTAAAGCGAGGTTCAACTTAGATTTACAGTATGGAACTACTTATCAGCAGCTCTTCATTACTTTAGGATTACGGTAGGAATTTCGAGGAGGATTTCAAGCCATTGAAAGCGGTATTTTGCTTTAGAAAAGCCAAACAATCCAGAAACTCTCGAACTGGGTTAACTGAAGTTGATGGTTCTAAATATGAAAGTTGCACGTCAATACACTGTTTCTTTCATGAGTTATTTCAGATTTAGGGTAACAACTGATTTTTCAATGTTTGTCAGAAATGTGAATACGTCATCAAGAAAGCTCGAAAAACTGGTGAAAAGTTATGTAGTGAAATCAGCACGCCTGAAAACCTTGCTACACAAATTTTCAAATTTTTTCGGAATTATTTCATCAAAAGGCTATTTCACAGTGACGCTATATGCTGAAAGTTCATACCGTGATCCTACAGTAACGAAGAGTGATTAGTGGTTCGCTCCATACTGTAAATCTAAGTTTATCCTCGCTCTACACAATGGTACCTCAAGCTCGGCAAAAGACATGAAAGCAAGAGAGTTATTAACGATCAAACAGTGTGCACATCTTTTTGGGACACTCTGTAGATCTTAGACTTGTTTACGTATGATATCCTCACTTGAAGTTTATACGCACCTCTCTGTTGTTGTTTTTTTTCATGGCTAACACTTGAGAAACAAATAGACCAAGTTCAGAAATATCGTTTTTATCGAGTTTTTCACGTTAAATTGACATTTCTCGAAAAATGTCGCTTGTTGTTATTTGTGGTTACACTTTTGAAGGCTTATGCCATAAAATTTTCTGCGATAATTGCCCAGCCATGCTTTAAAATTTGCCAGACTTCGTTTCCTCGATTTCTAGCCCTGGAAAAAATACGACACCCCAACTGTGTATATAAATTTTAGATAGTGGTGTTTATGCGCGAAAAAGTTGGGAATTCTTAGAAACTTTTTAGAATTTAAGGTGAAAATATAAATGGACGGGACTTTTGATAAAACCTGATACATCAACGAGTTCACATAATACGGCAACTTTGTCTAAATCACACAATACGTCAGGTGCTCAGGTCATTTAGCACCTTACTTCGTCATTTAAGTGCATATGTTATTCACTGCAGCTCAGACATCTGTTCATAGTAGGACCGCTCTTACTTCATATCTCTATGTTTGGGTAAGTGCTCATTCTCCACCATCGGTTTATCAAAAAAAAAAACCTTTTTTTCAGAATTCACTGGCTATTTTACGCTTTGACAGCAATCCCTGTTGTTGCGTTTCCTCTCAATAATACAGAAGATGTGGGTTTCCGATAATTCAATGTCAGTAGATTTATTTCATTGTAGTTTTTCCAGAGCTGCCCTAGGACTTGGTTCGCATACCGAGATTCGTGCTATTACCATGCAAGTGTTGCGACAGACTTCGTAACCGCGCAGGTCAACTGCCAAAGAATGGGAGCCGCTCTACTGCACACGGAAACGCAAGAAGAATATGTTAGTTTATCTTTATTTTCGTATATTTGAGCGCTGTAGTAATATTTTACGCAAGATGTCAACGCGAACATGCGCAACATGCGGCATTCGAGGCGGCGGCGCGTTCGCAAGCGCCTGCGTATCCTTTATCCACGCTGTATTTCTGCAACTCAAAGGCGTTCAAACCGCGACGCGGCTACATGCGCAAATCTCGCATTGTCTGCTTGTGGAGCTTACCATCTTGAACTAATCTATTTTTTTTTTAGAAATACGTAACGGAGCGGGTGAAAGGCACATCTATGAGCTGGATTGGCTTCCAGGAAGATAAGAATTTAAAATATGCGAGATGGTTGAATGGTGATAGGCTCGATTATAACACTGTGTAAGTATATTTCACAAAATTTCGCACACTTCATTGAATCTCGGAGCAAATAATGATTTTCAGAAATTGGCTGATGACACCGGAAATGCCCTGGGGAGCTTTTTGGACAAACTTTGCCAAATGTGGTGCTTACTACTACAATTTTACTAATTCTGCTTCTAGTACGCTCTACTTTCCATGTACGAGCCAGCTGTATTCGACCTGTGAGAGAAATAAGACACTCGGAAAATTCACAAAGCCAAGACCTTATCGTTTCAAGCAGTAAATAATATATAAATTGCGAGTTGGTCAAAGAGATATTGATTATTTGCTGCATGTATTTGTTACTTGAAATTGCAGTAAACAAATTTCATGGGATCTTCAACTTCATCTGAATCAATCTTCTGTGTTTTTATAGCTCCATGATAGCAATGAAATTTTTTCAAAAGAATAAGGGGAGAGAATAATAAACTGAAGAATGATGCTTGAGCGCAAGGCAACACATTCGTACTGCGCTGCTACACGACCGCAACGCATACATCTCAGCTCTAACAGCTAAAGTTTATTTCAAACACTTTATCACGAAAGCGGATCGCGCGCTACCGCTTCGCAGCAGTTTGCGCCGGATCATATAGTGTAGGAACCCACGTCTGCGTCTCATCTTGGCGAACTGCTAGCGATATGCAGAAAAAGTTAAATGCTCAAAATAACATACCGTAACCTGCGTCCTTTAATAAGCTGGAGCACGTTTTCATGTAGGGACTTGCGATATGTGAGCGATATGCGACAAAATGAGCGGATAGGAGATAGACACATTAAAAGGATGGATTCATGACTGTTTGCTGCACATTTCATTGGATCACTAGCTAGTAGGATACAAAACGTTTAGATAAGATGTATTCTTGCCCAACGTGGTCCCTACACAACTTTTTTTTATGACAAACTAGCTGGCTTACCCGGCTCCGCCGTATCCGGACCAAACTTGGCACACATACACTTCGGGCCCCGGCGCGTGTCACAGTCCACTTTTCGTTATCGATCGATGTCGATTTTACCGATTTTTATCGATTTTTTCGCAGAGTTCACCTACAGGGCTAGGAGTTGGCACAGGGGGGAAGTGAGCATGGGGATTCCGAATACAATATTAGTTTTCAGAATTATCGGTTACTTTTATTGATTTTATCGATTTTTTGTAAATTTTGACATGCGAGGCTGGGATTTTGCACAGGGGGTAATCGAGCATGCTGATTACGAACACAATATTAGTTTTCAGGATCGTCCATTACTTTTATCGATTTTATCGATTTTTTTGTAAAGTTTGACCTGCGGGGCTGGGAGTTTGCACAGGGGGGGTAATCGAGCATGCAGATTACGAATACAATATTAGTTTTTGGAATTATCCATTACTTCTATCGATTTTATCGATTTTGCAAAATTTGAGCTAGGGGGATGGAATTTGGCACAGGGGTGTAATCGAGCATGCTGATCACCCCCTTGGGGATGATCAGCATGCTCGATTACCCCCCTGTGCCAACTCCCAGCCCCCTAGCTCAAACTTTGCAAAAAAATCGATAAAATCGATAAAAGTAATCGATAATCCCGAAAACCAATACTGTATTCGGAATCCCCATGCTCGATTACCCCCCTGTGCGAACTCCCAGCCCCGTAGCTCAAACTTTGCAAAAAAATCGATAAAATCGATAAAAGTAATCGATAATCCTGAAAACCAATATTGTATTCGGAATCCCCATGCTCGATTACCCCCCTGTGCCAACTCCCAGCCCCGTAGGTGAACTCAGCAAAAAAATCGATAAAAATCGATAAAATCGATATCGATCGATGACGAAAAGTAGCATATGACACCCGCCGGGGCCCGTAGTGTATGTGTGCCAAGTTTGGTCCGGATCGGTTCAGAAATGGAATTTTCTATTCGGAACATACGTACATACATACATACATACATACAGACAGACATACAGACAGACATACAGACAGACATACAAACAGACATTCAGCTTTATATATAAGATATCAGAAATTCCATGCATCTTTTACGAGAAGGAAATAAATGGTTATTTGTAACGAATTTTGAAGCCCTGCAGGTTACGGAACGGCACTGCAGCACTAAAAGTAGACATTGGGATGGAACACAAACACTTCTAAGCGTGAAATTTTCCGAAGCTCTCGAAGTTATTGAGAACACTATCCATCAGCTGCTGAGGAAGTTGATAAACTTCCCCCTACATTCAGATAAAGGTATAGCAAGTTCTTGCACATATATGTAGTTGTTGGAATTGTGGTTGCAACTATAAATCTACACAAATAAAGTAGAAAGAGACCCTACACATCTATATAAAGCAGTGTACGATTGAGAGAGTGGCAACTAACATAGCCGAAACACTGGAAAACCACGACTTTCATTGAGAGTGAGAGGGCCGGGAGCATCGCTTTCTTAGCCCTTCAAGGCAATGCACGCAATGAGATCCACAACGCGGCATGAATGATCAAACTCATTGTCATACCATGAAATAAGCTTGACAGCTTTCAAAATTGGGGTTGAGAGAGATGCAAGCTTCCGCATCGAAGATTGAAGAGTTGCGGTCACCGACGAAGTCACTCGACACGACCTGATCCTCTGTGTATCCCAAGATAGCGTTCACTGGACCCTCAGAGGCTGCCTTGATGACCTTCTTATTGTCATCCATTGAGGCCGCTTTCTCCAGACGGCACGTGAGATCGACCACTGAGACATCAGGAGTGGGTCATTCCAGTAAGTTCTCCGTTCAAAGCGGATGACCTTGCCAGCAGCCTTGGCAGCACCGGTAGATGCAAGGATAACATTCTGGCCTGCACCAGGTCCATCACGATAGTGCTTTCCAGATGGGCCATCGACTGTTTTCTGCGTTGCCGTGGTGGCGTGGACGGTAGTCATAAGTCCTTCGATGATTGTGAAGTTGTCGTTGATAACCTTAGCAAGTAAAACAAGACAGTTGGTGTAAGAAGCATTACTAATAATGTGGTTTCTGGCAGGATCGTACTTTTCGAGGTTTACACCCATTACGAATATGGTGCATCTGCAGATGGAGCTGAGATGACTGCCTTTTTAACGCCTCTTTTCAAGTGAGCAGATGCTTTCTCGATGGTAGTGAATACACCCACAATGATTTGAGCTCCATTGGTTCTTCAGCGGCCTGAAGTTCGTACTAAACTTTAGTGGGTCCTGCGAAGAAGGCCTGTGCGGCGGAACCCAACTGTACGTTATTTTGAGCATTTAACTTCTTCTGCGATATGCGCTTGCCAAGCGTTCGGCGAAACGGACGCGCAACTGCACATGAAGGGTTTCGCCTCTATCCGGTTGAAACAGACTCTATGAGGTGGTCATAGACTGCAAACTGCGTGGACTTCTCGAACCAAAGATTAGCTCTCCTCGGGTGGAGGACTATATGCATGTCGCCGAATGTGGAAGAGTCCCGCGCGGATTTCCTGCAGGAACGCATGTCCGCGCACATATAAGGGTGCGTATTTGTCGCAAATGACCGCGGGGACCGCCCTTTTTCGGCGACATATAGTCCTCTACCCACTCTCCTCGAAGTCGGTTTACTTCCCTCAAACACTTTCCAGTAATCCCTAATGCTTACTTACAAGCCGCACGACCTTTCCAGTAATCCCTAATGCTTACTTACAAGCCGCACGACAGTCAAGATCTTACTGGCTTGCTTCTTCTCTTCGAGAGGTCTTCGCCTTCTAATTACGAAAGCAAAACATGAAACCGAAAGAACAAAATTCATTTGAGTACGGCAACATACGGACGAGCGCAAGGCCGAGCCGAAGTTCTTCACGCGGTCCCGGGACGATATATACTGCCTGTCCTTTAAGTAGGGATCGGCCACTGCTATTCCTACGACTCCTAAGGTGCCAGAGTAAGCGAATATTTTGTTCAGGTCGGGGTCCCGTGCAGAATTGACGTCTTTCACCATGCTGGCGTCAATCCAAGTGACGTCAATTCTGCGCGGGACCCCAACTTGAACAAAATGTTCGCTTACTCTGGCACCTATAAGCTCCTGCAAGACGAAGGTGGTCGATTCGATGCGCAACGCGGCTGCGACATGGCTGCGTCACAGCCGAGTCACAGCCGCGTCACAGCCACGTCGTACCTCGAACCGACCGCCTTCGTCTTGCAGGAGCTTATATGTACCTACGATTCCTGCGATTCCTGTGAGTCCCGCACAATTTAGACGCCGCTTGAATGAGCGCGTTCTGCGTGTTACGTGTTGTTTTACGCAACACGCGCTCATTTAAGCGGCGTCTAAACTGTGCGGGACTCCCAGGAATCGCAGGAATCGTAGGAGTCGTAGGAATAGCAGGAATAGTATGGCCGATCCCGTAGTGCGGGGACTGCGTCAGTACAATTTGTTCAACTTCTGCCGTTGCGATTTCGGCTTTCTGGTTGTCGTCCACTTCTGTTTAAGTTATGATATCTATTTCTGTTCAAATCGAGTCATCCCTCAACCATCCATATTGTCCATTCACTACGCCTAGCTCGGATTTGACTAGTGTTCTAGTGGTGGATTCTCTCCTTAGTTTTCTTTGGCCTTTTTGCCGCCAAAAGCGGTGGTTGAACTAGCTGCGTGAAGAGTTCTGATCGCAGCATAGCTGGCCTGTTCCGATGCGTCTCATCTGCTGTTTCAAGTATCCGCTTCAGAATAGCTGCTGCACCTGCTCTGCGTCACTGACATGCGGCGCGCGTGGCTAGCATGCTGGCAACATGCAACAACGTGTTAGCAACATGCAACAGTGTGTTGACGGTGATGCTAGCAGCTAGAACATCCTGCTAGCGTGTTGTTGCATGTAGCCTACACGTTGTTGCATGTTGCCAACACGTTGTTGCATGTTGCCATCGTGTCATCTGTGCTGCAAGAGACGCAGAGCAGGGATAGAGGCAGTTGTGGTATGGACGATGGGCATTTTCTGGAATATGTGGTAACCGCTTCAATAATGCTGAAAGAAAACGCTTACTAAAGTCACTCTGTTTCTGTATGGTTTTTGTTATGATATACTCCACTTGATCTGCTGCATCGAGATTAGTCTCATTGATAGTGAGGTCAAGAACCCGATCATGTCCTTTTATCTAGATAGAGATGTACATTGATTCACTTTCTTATGCACTAGTTTTTCTTTGGGTATTACGCTCTTATATATCTCAGCTTTACTATTTGACTTTTTTAGGGTTCTCGTTTCTTGCAGAAATCATGTGTTGCAGCTGTATCGAGGTCATCGTGGCCATTTTTCTTCCGGTGAGTTGCTTCTCAAACATTTTAGAGCTTTCTGATTTTCTTACTTATTCATCCTGCCTGGGTTAATATGTAACATGCATTTTAAAGTTTGATGTTGCGGCGTTGCAATGTTTTCTATACAAATCTTTAAATTTTCTTCTATCTTGGCTACTCTTTGTGGGAGAACCGATCCTTGCAGAGTCAGGAATATTTTTTGACCAGAATTATAAAAACTTTTTTGTTTTGCGCTGCGCGCTCGACCGGATTTTTTTTTATCAAGTCTTTGTTCTAACAAAAATCAAGTAATGCAGTTACATCTATGTTTCTGTACATTGCGCCAAATAAGCTGTTCTTCAACTCCCAACAATTGTTTACAGCCACTCGCTGTTTTGAGCCACACGGGATGCACTATAGATCTCTTCATCAACGTCATCCTTACCATTTGCGGCTACATACCCGGAGTGATTCATGCCATTTACGTAATCTGCTCTGATAGAGGACAGCAAGCTGGAGTGAGAGTGACGACTAACGTAAGTTGATTCAAGACATTCTTATTCTAATGAATAAATTTACACCTCAGGTAAATGTTGCTCAGCCGAGCATTCCGATGTACCAACCGGCAGCAGGTTACCAGCCCGTGCAGCCTCCTCCCGCACCCGTCTATTATCCAGAGCCGTCGGCAGCTCCACCCGTGTACTATCCTGATCCCTATCAGAAGTATTGAATTCATTTTCTGTTCTAACAGTTGTTGCAAGGTTTTTTGAGGTTACTCTAGGTTTTTGACCATTTTCTTTATTATGTTTCTCGCTTGGATCTGTCCATTCTTTCGGTGTTAATTGCTCTATGTAAATTCGGCTGGATGATGAAGTATTCAACAGATGGTGTTGAGGTATCCATGCAACAAATGAGTTTTCAAACCTCTCAAATTTACTTGGCTATCTACGCTGGCTTATATTGCTTATCGTTTCAGATTCTGGGCCAAACATCCGAAAAGTTGAATTGCTATAGACAGTATAGTTTCAGGGATTCTGGTGAAATTTTCTCTGTAATCATGTGAAGTTCTCATGTTGCCAGCTGAGGAATGAACTTGCAAATCTACGTGAGGTCATCTTTGCGAAGGGAAGGGAGGGAGGTAAGTCATAAGAAGCTTATGCCATGACTTTCTCTGTAATAAATCTCGAGCTTATGCCATGACTTTCTCTGTAATAAATCTCTTCGCCCTCACCTCAAAGGACCCGTCTAGGCAAAATCCTATCTAATGTCGAAGAGAATTCTGTTTTGTTGAACTCTGCGCTCCGAAATTCAGTTATCGCTTAGGTAGCGAGTCTAGCATCCATTGCTACACAGAGGTGCGGGGTCTTCTGAGTCTTTGTGACCGCGACGCTCCTCTGCCATACAGAAATATTGTATTAATCGTGAGTACCACTTCTTTTTCCTAAAACCATAAGCGAATTCGTGTTTTCAATCTACTCTTCCCTTCCCTACCGTATAACAGCTGTACTCCATAACCCCTATGGGGTTATGGAGTACAGCGCTCTTGACCGCCTCACCCATAGGGGGAGGCGGTCAAGAGGCGCGATTTCTCTGGCTGTCACCAACTTACAACCACAGTTTGATGCCATGCGATTCTTCAAAAATTACCAGATAAATTGCAATAGCTTGCTATCTGTCTGAGGTTACCACTTGCTGAGTTTGATGGCTTTTGCTGGGAAACGGATCGAAATATTCACAAATTTGTTCCTAACTGCATTTTCATGGGTTTTTGACCTTTAAAATTGCTGTTTTGATTCGATTCCAAGGTATTAAGATTGAACAACCCATGCAGCCATCGGATATATCTCCTTCTGAAATCTGAATAAATTTAGAAAGTTAGAAAACACTTATTATGTGCTATTTGTTATCCATCTGGCAATAAAAATCGCGCCTCTTGACATACACCCCTCCATAGGTGATACTGTGAGAGATGGATACCGTTTCCGTGAGAAGCATGTTGAAAGCAGCGTCCAGGCAAATCTGAACCTATGGGGATTTTACGCGGAAAGTTATTTTGGGGCTCTAACTAAGGCTTTGCCCAAGCGGCAGCGCAGGTGACTGACTTACGGCTGAGTACGCCTCCAAATGCGCCGAGCTGGCTTACTGTATCCCGCACCCATTTTGTACCGATGTGCCTGAGCCATGAGGCAATCGCGCGAACGCAGCCTCGTCAGCTTTGTCGCGTTGCGACGTCCGAAGCGATGGCGCGAATTTTATAAATGTCTCAAAAAAAATTCTTCTAGATTTCAACGTGTGATATCGTCCGTCGCACCGCATTAGGTAAAAATTTCAAAAAAAAACTTGTTGATTTCTTGTTTTTTATATTTGATTCATGTTCATCTTCAAGTAAAATCAAAGGAATGAAAATCTGGCATCAGCTATCTTTTTTTTTGTCCTAATAAATTAAGTCCGCAGGTTATCGTCGCCGTGTTACTAACCTCAAATTGCAATCTAGGCAACAGGTCACAGCTTGCAGTGACAATTAAATAACTATACCATGGCAAAAACAAACATGAAACAAAAGAAAACTGAAGAAACACTAGGGAGTTTCCAAACGAATCTTTTGTTTTATTTGGAAATATAAACGAACATAAATCGAATAAAAAACAGGAAATTAGCAAGTTTTTCTGAAATTTTCACTTTATGCGGTGCGGCGGACGATACCGCACGTTAACATTTGAAAGAGGAATTGTTACTAACAAGGGAATGGTCAGAAGTCGAAGTGGACAATCCATACAAGCTGCATACCATTAGATGCAGCATAAAAAGCTGACTCTAAGGCCCGTATGCACGTACGTCCCCGCTGGGGAGGGGAGGGGAGCTGGATCCCCAGGGGAACAATCCCCTCCGCCGAACCCCGCCATGACAGAGGGGAGGGGAGCGATCCCCTCCTCTGCACCTAAGCGGGGATGGTGTGAATGGTTTCAGAGGTATTGATCGAGCGAACCCCAGTGCATACGGGGTTCGAATGGGGGAGGGGATCCCTTCCCTTCCCCCACTCGAACCCCGTATGCGCGAATTCAACTCAATAACGCGGGGGAGGGGATCGACATCCCCTGCAACGAAGTAGGGGTTCGATGGTGTAGATCATGCCAGAGACGCGGATATTCTGGTTCTGCTCAGTCATTACCAAGCATTTCGTTCATTTTGATGGAGGATTTTCTTTGAAAGCCGGGTTCTTCTCTCAGCGACCTGTGGCTTGCAGTTTGTCTTTCTTTTCTATATTCGCCTCTTGAGAAGAAATCCGAGCAACAATAGCTGCCAATTTCGATTATTTGTAGGAGTTCTTGATCATTCAGAAAATTTGCGCATTTTTCATATAACATAATAGTTTTAACTATATAGGCTGAGTAAACACATTGTAGCTTTCATATTTCATGACATGTTGCCATTATCTTGTTATTTTAACATAAGCTGCCTCGAAAAAATCTAGAAAGTAGCATATTTGCCTATTTCTGAGTAGAAATCCCCTGGGGAGTGATCCCCTCCCCAGCGTTCCCCTTGTGCATAGCAGGGATGGCTGCTGGGGATCATTCCCCTGGGATAAAGGATGATATGCAGCTGATAGCTACAGCGTTTATGGAGAGCTGGCACAATCTGCAGCTTCTGTTATGTGTTAGAATACTGATTTGAGCGTCCGCGCGGCACCCCCCCCCCCCCTTTCGGCAGCATAACGTCTTCTACCCATTCCCTTGCAAAGACACATCAACTTCTATAGTTCAACATTTTTACGCTGAAATGGAGCAGCATGAGCGAAAGTGGGCAGCATCCAAGAAAGCAGGAACATAATCGGAGTAGAAAAAATCATTTTTAGTGCCTCGAGCGCAGTCACTGCATGCGCGCATTCCGCAACCTTAAATTAATGAAAGTGAAGAGATGAAGATGAGTTGCAGTCAAAATATGAAATAAGAAAGAGTTTTTCATAGAAAATTTGAAAGCAAGGTGATTTCCCCGCTTGATCCCCTCTTGTGCGTAAGAGGGTTCACTTCCCCTCCCCACGGGGGATCCCTTGTCCGATACTGTCTTTGTGCATACGGGGGTTCGCGCGGGGAGGGGAGGGGATCCCCAGCGGGGATCATTTCAATGGTTAAGCGCACATCCCCTCCCCGCGGGGATGTACGTGCATACGGGCCTAAATCTGTCTTCTTTATCTGCAGAGCGCTTTTGTGGACGAAATTATAAGCCGTTGATGTCCATTTTTTGCTAAGGAATTGTGCGTGTAAAGTGCAAATTGGGCCGTACAAAGTCATTCTCGGCTCAGTGTTGGGCCAAAACATGCAACTAGCTCACTTCAGATGACCCATACCTAGAAGTGAGCTAAAAGAGCAATAACGGGGGAACGGAACTTACCTACCCGAGATATTCTCGCACCTCATGAGTGTCTATCTGCGGGGTATAATTAGGCATAGCGAGCTCGCTGATTCTAGATGCTCCTTAGGATACAGCGCTAAGCTAAGCCCCGCCCACACATAGCGCCTTTTTGGCATGGAACCAAGACATTTATAAATATATGTCAATTATAAAGATAAAATATTTAAGTCACAAAACATGTGCAGCGTCCTGTACACACTGATCGTTTGATAGACTAGTCACCTTCATAGTCTTTTATCATTAAGGTTACATTCTTAGGGCACGCTATTCTCACAAAAAATGGGTCATTCTTCTAACATTCCGAGAGAAACAGTGGAAAAGCAGTTTTACATGCGTCATAAGGCATGCTTTATTTTTTGTCGAGATTTCTTAAGGTAAAAGTCGATTCACTAAAGTAAAATTTCGGCTCTGTAAGAAAAGACAACGCAAAGCCAATAGCACATTTGAAAAGAGCGCCTCCAAAAACCCCTAAATCTGTATTTTCATTGAGATTGAGCAGATATTGTTGCTGAACATCTTTGTGATTCTATTGATTTCCCGTTTTTATCTTATATATAAAGCTGAATGTCTGTTTGTCTGTCTGTCTGTATGTCTGTCTGTATGTCTGTCTGTCTGTATGTATGTACGTATGTTCCGAATACAAATTTTTATTTCTGAACCGATCGGGACCAAACTTGGCACACATATACTTCAGGGCAGGGAGCGTGTCATAGGCTACTTTTCGTTATCGATCGATATCGATTTTATTGATTTTTTGCAAAATTCGAGCTAGAGGGCTGGGATTTGGCAGAGGGGGGTAATCGAGCATGCTGATCACCCCGAAGGGGTGATCAGCATGCTCGATTACCCCCCTGTGCAAAATCCTAGCCCCCTAGCTCAAATTTTGCAAAAAATCGGTAAAATCGACATCGATCGATAACGAAAAGTGGGCTGTGACACGCTCCCTGCCCCGAAGTGTATGTGTGCAAAGTTCGGTCCCAATCGGTTCAGAGATAAAAATTTCTATTCGGAACATACGTACACGGGTCTAGCTGGCAGGCCCGGCGGAGCCGGGCAAGCCAGCTAGTGATTGATAAATGCATCACAAAAGAGTCGATAAATGGGGGCGGGGCTTAGAATACACACAGACTAGGCTCTGTACACTATGCTAATTGCGTATCTGACTGCTCGTAATACCTAAGGTACGCTGCGGCAAGTCTTTCGGGTAGGTAAGTTCCCGCACCCGCAATAACGTGCCTAATTTCGCAAATTCTGTATGCGATTTTTTCGCAGTAAAGCTGCTCATAATTTCGCCTACAAAGGCGCTCTGCACATATGGAAGACAGATTTGAAATCAGCATTCTATGCTGCATCGAATGGTATGCAGCTTGTATGGATTGGCCACTTCGACTTCTGACCATTCCCTTGTAAGCATTTTCATGTGCTTCTTGTAACGCGATATCGCGGTCGGTGCAAAATGGGTGCGAGATACGGTAAGCCAGCTTGGCGCGTGTGCCGATTATGGCGCGAGCTTTGGCGGCGAGGTCTTTGTAGTATAACGCCAAGCCGCCAACTGGACCCCAGGATCGTATTTCGCTTGGATTCATGGCGCAATCCGCAACTTTCGCGCGAGGACCCACGCGAAATTGATGGGTTGCGCCATTAATTCATGCGAAGTACGAACCTGGGGTCCACTTTCGAGGGGAATATCTCAACCGTTAGAGCACTACGACTGGGCAGTAGCTTAGTTAGGGTCCCATGGTTACTATCTACGTGAGATCCCCATATGTCCAGATTTGCCTGGACGCTGCCTCTGAGTAATTGTGGCCACAAATGTTTTCGCATTCTTCCAATAGAGTTTTTAGCACATTGACGACAACGTGACCCACATAGTGGGTCATGCAATGACTGCGTGGGACAATGTGACCCACATGGTGAGTCATGGCTTAAATGTGTCAAATGACTACTACTTTGGAATACATTCGTTTCAGAAGTTCTTTTATGGTCCGAATCTAGAATTTGCTTCCACGTTTCTAGACTTCTTAGAATTACTGTAGGTGTACTGTGGATGACGATCTGCGAGATTTTAGCCAAATTTTTCAAATTATTTGTGGAAGGCATTGTTCACGGGGGACACAACTAAAAATGTTTGTCTTCAACGTGTTAACTCTGGTTTAGCAGCTTTCATTGCACAATGAAAAACAGTTTATGTTCATCTACATCTAGTGTATGTCATTATGATAAAGACAAAGCAAACATCTGCCTTAGCGGGGCGCTGCACGGCCATTGGGTCCTAAAATTTGCAAAGATGGATTTTTATCATATCTTACGATTGACATATATACTACTCCTATCGCGCAAAACAATGTGTGTGATTACGATGGTTATACGGTGAGGGAGCATAACACAGCTACTTGGTTTAGTTTTTTGGGGATTATTTGGCACGCTGTCACAGAATCGTCTTGACCTATACATATTTTTCAGAGTTACGTTGGATATAAGGTAAACCAGACAATCTGATTTTTCTCAAAACTTCGTAGGGGGGGGGGGAGGGGTGCTGCATGCTGCTTACGTTCATCATGTTGATTGTGTAGTAAATCCTTCCTGCGCTGAAGAAAACGCATTATTCACTCAACGCATTTGGTACTGGTTCTTTTTCGGGTCCCCCCCCCCCCTCCCCTCCTAGGAGGATTTTGAGCAAATTCAGAAGTTTGACCCATCTACAATCGGCCGCTATAAATGGTGCAAAAGTGCAAAAACAACAATCAACATGATACCTGACCAGCGCACCGAATTATTTCTGAAGACCAAATTCCAGCCAATATATTCGCCTTCCACCGCAAGCCTACAGCCATAATCGCATGATGGTGTTTGCGAAAAGTGAGTCTGAATGTGAGGTATAATGAAACGCAAGGCTTTGAAAAGGGAAGACGTAGCTGTGGATGACAAATCTTCTCGAATCCTTGCTCAGATGCACTTAGGCAGTCGTTTTGCCCTTTTGCCGTCCTATAAAACAGAGTTCCCACTTGCAGTATCCGAACTCTGTTTGTGTTCGTTTAACTCTGAAATTCTTATCTTTTTCAGCTCTAACATCGGCACTTTCCTACTCTGTTCTTTATTTCCGCACATCTCTATTTCTATCAAGATTAGCTTTTCTGATTGTTCGTGCTTCGAGTTATAAACGGAAAGGCTTGTGGAGCGATGGTGCTGCATTTTCGATTTTGGTCGCAAAAGTGCGTCGGTTTGGTGAAGATGCAGTTCTGCAATTCAGCCCGCGACACAGGAATTTTCGAATTTTTCCAGATTTTTACATTGTTTGCGCAGCTGCAAAGCGAGCGATCCTTTTTACTGCTTTGTTTGATCATTCCTTCAATTTATTTTTGTAGACGTGATGCATGACCTTTTTTCCCTATTCCATTGATCTGTTTTCGCTTTAGTTCATCTTGCGTTATCAGGATGTATTCGCAAGAAGAGAATAGCTTTGCGAGCACTAGTAGTTACGAATTCACTATGATGTGAGCTTTTCTCTCAAAACTGTTCTGTAACTTTCTTGAAGACTGTTAAACTCTAATTTTTAGGTCTTTCTATAAAGCAGAACGTGAGCGTGTATTGCGTATGTGGCGACAGTCCTTGGAATCAACGAACCAAGGTTCATTCGGTTTTGTTTTTCACTTGTATTCTTTGTGAAGTGGTTCCTAAAATCAATCATTGCTCTTGCTGATGGATGAGACTCATTGTCTTTTAATGTCTTGTCTTGTGATTTGTCTCATTCTAAACCTTTATACATGAAACCTTCCTATACTGTTTAAGCTTTCTTTCTACAGTGAATGACGAGGTCAACGATGAAAGCATGGAGGTAGAAAACGACGAAAACATTCCACCAGGAAAATTCTGTACTGCTATTCCTCCGAGACTATGTAAGTTTCGATTCTGTGCATGGTTTCAGCTTCCATAATATCTCTCAGCCATTCGAATTTGTACATTTAATAGATTGCTTCTTCTTTTCTTTTCGTTTTGAAAAGTTCATTTGAGCGAGTAGTATGCAGAAAAATGCATTTTTTATGGTAGCTGGAAACCCGCTATTTCTTTGTGAGGATTTTGCTAAGTTTTACGATTAACAGCTGGAGAAAACGGCCTATGTTCTGAATGATAGGCAGTAAGGTGGCTTGTTGTCATTTCAAATTATGTCGGCGTCTACTGGAACTTTAATTGTTTTTGTCGCTGTGGAGGTCTCGGAATGTAATGTAAAAACAAATGAAACGGAAGTTTTGAAACTAATGTCAGGATAAATGTTTTGAACTGTTCCCAACCATCTGCAGTTTTTCGAGAAGTTTGGTGTTAGTTTAGTCCTCTTTCTTCTATCGAAAATAATTCAGCTTCACATTGGAGTTGAATGCTGTAACAAACTAATCGTCAGATTAAACAACGCGGTAGCTATTTCACAGGGACTAGGGATAAGTTGTTTATGGTGATGTTAGAGTAGGCGCCAGACTTATCCGGTTCAACAGGTTCAGCTGGTTCAGCCTCGCTACTGGTCAGACACTGAACTGACCAATAGCGAATGGGCTGAAGCGATTCCTAGCTTGAAATGGCAGTGCCATTTTTTGGCTTTTGATGGAATTGGGGCGGGGTGGAAGAGACATGTGTCTGCTGAGTTTTTAAGATCAGGATCAGTTCATTAACTTTACGACTTTTAGCTTTGCTGGATACAAATTGACCTTTGTGGAAGAAAATGAGACGTTCTCGCTGTTCTAAACGTTGCTCTTTATTGATTTATGACATTTGTTTCAGGTCAAAAACGTCCGTTAAACTCGCCACCTCCCTACCTTATTTCCAACATGAAGAGAATGAAGTGCGAGTGAGATCCTTGTATATCGCATGTTGCTACACAAAGAAATATTGTATCTCTTCATTTGATCTTCACTTAATACGGTGTAATTTGCTAATAGCATAAATTTTCTGAAGTAATGCTCTATCCTGTTTTCTCGATAAGGCATAAATTTATTATGTATTTATTCATACCCGTCATGGAAAAGGCAATTTTGACATAAAATCAGACCTAACAAATCCAAAAGCAACTTCAGTGCTTATTACAATAATTTAACGACAAATTTTTACAAAACGTAATCATTGACTGGAATACGCAAAGATCGTCGTCTAGCTTTGAGATTTAACTCGGCACGTATTTGGAAAGGGGACTAGGGAGAGTAGATTGAAGATCACAGGAATGATTAATAGACCATGAATCATGCCGATTAATACGACAAGAAGCATACATTCGGCAAAGATCTGAAAAAGAAGATTGATTAGAAAGGAGGTTGCGAAAGTGAAATGTCTTTGATGTGGAGACCCATCCAATGAGCATCGTTGAATTTTTCGTTCACATCCTTTCTGCTTTTTATTCCGTAGAAAGGCGATGAATGAAAAAGTGAACAGGTGTGTGATGATGCATGCCCGCAAGGAGGGCACATGCTAAAGAATATTCGTCGACGACTGCCCCGACTTGTGCAATGACACCACCTTGGGTGTGCCTTATTGGGGGCTTTGCAGCTGGACAGTACGCTGCAGCGCGAGGGGACTTGGTAGCTCGCAGCATCCCTGTCCTCTCCCTGTCCTGTCCTGTCCTACTGTCAAACTGGAAAGGCTTCAAAAAGCCCGCCCACGGTGGTGCAATTGCACTAGTTGGGGCAGTCGTCGACGAATACCCTTTATCTTGATCCACTTCGCTATTGGCCCAGTCAGTGAACTGACTAATAGCGAAGTGGATGAAGTGGACTTCGCCATTGGTCAGTTCACTGATTTGACCAAAAGCGAAGTGGATCAAGTATGGCACGCGCCGAGAAGTATATTCGGAAATGTTTGTACGTGAAGATGATGGTTGTCAACACTCACCTGTGACATGTGTAATTTTACGAAAAACAAGCTAAGCACACATAGAATTGTTGAAAGCGAAGCCTGTAGGATTGGGAATCCTACCGAAGCGATTGTTTTCTGCATTCGTTCTCGAACACTTTTTGTTTCTTTGCCTGGAAACGGAGATACTGGTTCTTAGTAATGCGCGGGTGTTTTACGTGAAAGTGAAACATCTTGCTTGGCTAATGACCCGCTGTAAGCCACGAACCTGTTTGATAGTAGTGGTAGGCAATGTGTGACGGGATGTCAACAGAAAATCCAATACTCATCACAGTGGCTGACATCATAATTGGATCGAGCTCAGCTCCTCGGAATGACATGATTCCGAATACTCCTGAAAATGCAATTTACGGCCTGGGAGGCTGAAAAAATGGAAAGGGGAGGAGAAGCGGAAGTGCGTTACCTAAGCTTGTGCTAAGGATACTGAAGGTGGCGACGAAAAGCGTTGGAGGATGAGAGATGAAAAGTGCGGCAACGATGAACATAGAGATGAAGGTGAACAAGGCTGATTGTGTGGCGACCGGCACCATCGTTTCAATGAGATCCAGAAACTTTGCATCCTCCTCGTAGATTGACACACCAAGATCGGAGTACTGTAAGATACAGACAGTATAGAACCGGAACCTTCGAAAATTTGAATGAACTAACGTTGTCGGCAACGCTTCGCCATTGGTTCAGAAGTCGTGCTCTGTTCGACCACTCATTGAGATCTTCACCGTGAAATGCGGTGGTGAAGAAGAAGCGGGTTACTTTGTACTCAGTTCTGAAGTACTGCTTTTAAAACGTTGATGGCAAATTTGGAAATATGTGAAACATTGCTCGGCATGCTTTATTTTAACATAATGAGTGGTTCATCGATGCACTTTGGGGAAAGCCTCTGTCAGCTACGGAAACGCGCTCTGTCGCGATCTTCAGCAGAAAGCATGTGGACAAGGGACAAAGACTGATCCCAGACGATGGCGATTACCCATGTAAGCGAGGCTTGCGCGGGTGTTCGAGCTCCAGTTGAAAGATGCTCATACCCGACGCTTGCACCCGTTTCGCAAGGTAAATCGGCCGCCTTCAGCAAAGGTCAGTCTTCAGGTAGACACGGCAGTATCGTCAGCATTTCTGCGTTGTCTGCGTCTATTACTTCACCCAGTACGCCATTTAATTCTCTTCATGAAAATTTGGATCTATCTTACCCTCTATTCACATGTTCCAGCTGGATAAATCCTTTCCAAAATGAGAATTCTGGCCAATCCAGAAATTGTTTCAGTTCGTTGCCTTCAGATGTAGTCTTAGCAGGAACCACAGCACTGAAATGCGACATTCCTCAATCTGATAGGAATGATTGGAAGCGTATAGCTTTGGCTAACCTTCCATTTTGGGTGAATTCTATGGCAACTTCCGGTTCTTCCACGAACTCATCTGGTACATCAAGTTCGTCGGATTGCTTTCGAAAATCTTCGTAATCTCTTAGCCAGAACTTTGTTGAGTACTGACCGACTGAATTTGGAAGATTTTCAAAGTCTGAAACCTGAAACGACGTGATTTGTAATTTTAAGTCGCATTCGCTGAATTGCTACCATCTGATGAATTCGTCGTGCTTGACTACGATCCATAACATCTCCAGGTTTATCGACAAGGATCCAGCACACGCTATAGTAAGGTGTGATGAAGTTCTTACGAGCTTCGAAGACCTAAAGGGGGATTGTGCATTAGATTTTCGCCGGGAGATGGAGATTATTTCGGCTTACCGTGACCAGATCAGAATCGTCTAAAAACAACTTGCTCGGAGTCAGTTCTGCTTTGATGTTGAGCGCGCCAACGATTGAGATGTACCTGGAACGCTACTTTTATGCCACGACAGTCTTCATACACCACGACTCAAAGGCATCACAACCGCGCAACGTGACGTATGCTCTATGATGTTAGAACTCACCAATAGACGGCCAATCCTGCAATTACAGCTGAGGAAACGACCTTATTCGAGATGAAACTACAGTAGGCATCGAGTACTCTGGAAATGAGCCACATTTCCCAGGTACTGGAGTCTTGCGGGGTTAGATATGGAATAATGGCCAACCCCTTTTTGGAAGACTCCTTTTCGATGTCTACTTTCTTCTCGTAAGGTGCGCTTTCCAATGCTAGTTGGTTTCCATCCAGCTCTTGTTGTATCTCTCGCTTTCCAATGACCACCATTAATGCTGCATAGATGGTCAGCTGAAAAGCAGAAGTCAGTCACAAATAAGAAATGAGCAGAAAAACACAGAATATCGCTTCTTTAGTATCGCATGGTTTGCGTCCTTGCGAGCCGCCTCGCTTGGGACACTCACCTTGCTCGTGAACATATCTCAGGGCTTTTCTCTCGTCCATTGACGCCTAAGAATACGGTATCTCCTGCGTCTTAGGCGTGGGAAATACCGTATGCGAAATGCCCGGAGACACATTCGCGAACGCGTCGAGTGGGCCAACGAGGCGGCTCGCGAGGACCTAAGCCGCGACAGTCAGATTGGGATCCCCTATACACAGTTGCGCGCGTCGCCGACACCTATGAAGCAGATCAACCCGCACTATGTGCGTAAGCTTCAAAACTTAAAGGCTTGCGCACATCCTTCCTTACAAAGTGTCTTCCACAGAATTTTAACACTCACTTGGAATATGAAGTCAACCACAACTGCCAGAGCATTTCCTATACTGAAAAGCTGGATCTCTGGTGTAGGCGTGAGCGCCCCGATTCCAAACGCGAGCACGTTTGTGATTGTTGTGATTGAGACCTAGAAGGAGAAGAATTGTATCAGTCAGGAATCAAATTCTCGCCCTCCCTACCGATGGGCCAGTCTCGACTAGCATTTCTGTGACCCTGCGTCGTACTTCAGCATTTACATTATCTACGGGCAATTTTCTGGAAGAAAGGTTTTTTTTACGTCAGACGCCGTTTGAACCCCTCTACGGTATCAAACCTTCTGTGGGTGGTAATCCTTTGCCAAGCGTTTACCATCAAGTATGCATCGTCAACCCCAATAGCCAGAACAAGAAATGGAGTAACACACAGAATTGACCCGAATCGAAATCCGGCCCAAAACATGCCGCCAAGTGTTGCGCCACAGGCCATAAATGGACATACGCACGCCATAATTGCTAGTGTGATCTAAAAAAAGTGTTGCGATTTTCTAAAGAACAAAATGTTCCGCTGACCTTGTGTATATTCATCTGCTTGAGAACAGTTGCACTAATGGAAAATGTGATGCTAGAAAAGCTAGCCATAATGACGAATCCAATAACAAGAAAAGGTAGAAGAGTGAGACCGGATCGGACTGGAATGGAGATTTGGCAAGTTGACAAAACAAAAAGTAAACTTGTATGACTCACCAATTTCCGAAGTGATGAAAGATTCTGTGAGAACTTTGACTGTGATCAAATCGCTGTGGAAATCACTAGAAATTGAGAATTTTTAACACAGCACAGTTAAACTTGGAAAAAACTCACTTATGGAAATAATCGATAAGGGAGCGTTCATACTTATTCATATCGCTGGGTTTTACATCGGTGCCAATCTCTAGCTCGGCACGAAATTGGAGCACAATTAAAGCTATTTCACGGATGTTGTGGGGTAGTTGGTTCTGGAAGACATCAGTCAATATTTTTTTGTGATGAAAATGTTCCCCACACCCCCTCCATCTTTCTCCCTGTATACGAAAGCGAAGTGGATGTTGTGGGTAAGAAGAACAAATCAGTTAAGTTGCAAAATTATTTATGGGTGCTACTGGAAAGTTTTCGATTTGATATGTATCATGTGGAACACCTCATGAGAAGATCAAATTCAAAAGAAAATACGAAACCATGCACGGATGCCTATGAGTTGTGACGCGTAAGCAAATTTGATAATGCCTCTGAGTCGTGACTCATAATTAAACCGGCATCGAGTGATCCATAACAGAAAATCTCAAAGTGGAAAGTGCAGACTTGATTACAAGATCACTTTCTTTCTCAGACATTTTGTGCACAATATGAGCCCCTACTTACTTACCAAAAGGTAATCCTTATGCTCTGCATCTGCAGTAGACACTACAATCTCGCGTCCTTCCTTGTCCCTGACTGCGACCTTTACACCAAACAGGTTCGGATCCATGTACAGTTTAGTGCCAAGCACGGTAGTAATTGGATAGCCCAGATCCAAATGTTTACTTCTGTTTGCAGAAGTGGCGTACTTATCTGAGATCAACATTCCACTCTGAAAAATGAGATTTACCCGGAAAGCAGAAATTTTGAAAATTGTCCTTTCGAGTGAACGGGTCGAAAAGTGGGTGCTTGTTGTGTAACGAACGAAACATAAAAGAGCCACTTACATAAAAGTGTCGTATCGGTTCGTTTAAAGTGCAGAATCCTTGACAAAATTCTTCGAAATTTTTCTGGCCATGTGAAGTCCGTAAGTAGAAATCTCGAGAGATCTTGTCCAAAACCTGAATTTGCAAACTCAAAAAAAAGTGCAAAAATTGAGAAAATCAGCGCTGCAAATTTTTTCCGATTTTCCTTACCTGAACGGTCTCATTTAAATGTGACGTCGTTAATAGATTCGTTCCGTCCTTGGGCCTAACAAACGCGTAAAATGTCTTTGGTTCACCACGATTTGAGAAGAATTCGCGATAAATCTGCAGAAGTGCAAAAATTAAAAATAAAAAATTTTGACCCGGGTGTGGTAAAACTCACTTTAAGTTCTTGTCGAGATCTAGCATCATATGGTGTAAAATCGCTAATGTTATTCTCCATAGGAGTGAACGGGATTTTTAAGGACAGAACAGCTGTGATTACACAACTCAAAATCATGCATGTCCATGGTGCATAGCTGAAATAACTTGCTTAAGAGAAACGGAAAAAATTTTCAAAAAAATTTTTTTCCGTTGCTGGAGTTTGGACTCGGCTTCCTGAATTTCCAAGAATTTTCATTTGGCGTGAAATCAAACGCTAAATTTTTTCCAAGCAACGCGAGCGACTATCGAATAGTTTTTCTTTTTGCTCAGCATCACCAGATAACAGTGTTGAAACATAGAATTACAGTCCCATAATACAGGTGCTCCGGCATGTACAGTAACTTATTTCGTTTCGAGACACCTCTGAGACGTTGAATTCACCTTTTCTTGCTGAATTCCGAATCGTTTTTGTTTGTAGGTCAAAATCTTTTGTTCATACTACTTTATTACTTTTTTCCCTGCATACGCTATCCTCAAATCCCTATCATGTTATTCGTGGAATTCTCATCCCATCACAGATTCTCTTTGATTTTCGCTAGCTTTGTTGATGGAAAATTACAGAGCAAAAAGTAGACATAATTATGCTCAGCAATCTCTAAACTACTATATACCATTACTGACGTAAAAGTGAGAAATCCCTGCGATCCATAAAAAACCGTATATCCTGAACAAACCCTATTACTAGTAATGAAAGTATGCCAACTGGTCCTCAGGCTCATCAAATGTTTTTCCCGGAAGATAGTAAAAACTCCCAGCAGGTTGGAGGAATGAAGGCCAAGCATGACTTGTGATTGTTAACCTCCATTCCATGGGGTAATTCATACTACGCGAAACTTCCTTGTTACGGTTTCTTGTTTGTATACCCCCCCCCCCTCCCCCCTTTCCTGTCCCGCTATTTGAAAATCTGGGAGCGGAGGATGGAGGTGGAAGGTCAAGTGGAAAATTGATGTCCACTGATAATAGAGACTAACATTTTACAAAATTCAATTTTTCGTTTTCCCACTCCTTAGTGTCCCCTCCCAGCGCTTTTGGAACGTCCTTAAAGATGTTGTGTTTCAATGTACTAGGGAAGTAGTAAAACTTTTGCACACCCTGTTTTAGAAATCGAACTTGACTGGGTGAACTGCGTAGTTGATTATACCACTAGATACAAATCCTCCCCCCCCCCCCCTCCCCCCTCCTATTGTATTCAGTTTGCAGCCAACATGCAAGCATCGACTGGTTCCGCATTACGTCACTCGCATGACCCCCTCTCGTTCTAATGCCCATTTATAAGTGTTTACATAAGATCTTTGATTCAATGGGTTTGCCCTTTCTCTTTTTCTCGTTTCATATGAGAAACTGACACTTTTGTTGGGATTCTGCTAATATGGGTCATTTACAACTCAAAAGCGGTAGGCTGGGACTTTGGGTTTCTTGTGTGGAAATTGATTAGGAGGGCTTAAGTAAGTCACTGCTCAGGCAATAGCTCGTATGCTTCATATGAAGCCGAAAAAAGTCAAATCCGAACTTTCGCACACTAGCGTACTCTAAGTGCTAGTCAGACTGGCCCTTTGGAAAGATTACGGTACTAGGCGAGAGTTTAGAGTCGAATTTATCGTCCAAGATTGAATCATATGAGCTGACGCTAGGGAAGTGGGATAGTGAAGGCACAGCAATCAGTCTATACAAGCCCAACTACTCAGATTAGCTTGTGCGCTGCCTCCTATAGGTGTATCACGGACCGTGCGCGGGATTCCACGACTTCGGATCCTAGCTGTGCAACTTTATCTCTTCTCACATCCCTTTCAGCAAATAAATTATAACAATTTCAAATTGTTAGCACAGTTTTACCAGCCATCTCAAACAAGTCGTGGAATATCGCGTGCGGTGTGCAAGCTCACAAGTCAAGTTACGGATGATTTCATTATAGCTTCCCCTAAGTTTCATGCATAAGTTGCATACTAGCCCCTATGTGATTATGTTGCCAGCTCGATGAGGTCGCTCCATAAAGCTTGATTTATGGGAAAATTCTCTGCGACTAGTGATTAATGGCTTGAAAGCTAGCTGATATAAATGATTGGGTTGCTCTCATCGCTCACATGCAAGTCATGAAAGCTATGGCGGTAAGGTCATTTAAAATCATATGATAGCAGAAATGAACGCATTGCACTAGACCGTCTGTCTGCTCCCATTCCCCCCCCCCCCCCCCTACCCGCCCAAGGCTTTTGAAGAGGAGAGAGACTGCTAGATATTTGGTCCCGATGGACCGGCTGATCGTTCAAGGTTAGAAAAGGAAGAAGGATTCAAAATGTCACAATATTTTTTTTATAAGAAGTGTACGTAGGTAGAAATTCCAAATCTTGTAAAATATCCTTTTCGTCTTACCTTGGCTCTAATGAAATTATACTTGTTCAATACAGAATTTTATGATTCAGGACAACATTTCCAAAAAATACAGGGAACGAAGTAGAATTGTCAGAAAAGATTATAAAAATGCATCTAGTCATAAAGAAGTCATTTTCTTCGTTGGAATTGGAACGCGCCAGCAATTTGACTTTTTTTCAAAGACCGAGTTTTACCATTTGTTTAAGAAAATTGCAATTTGCTCTTCAAGAATTTTTTTTTGCATTTGAATTTTCCGGAATTATGTCGAAGGATATGTCCTACTATGCATCTCTTCGTCTTGGAAGGGCATTTTGATGGAATATTTTGGTTTTTCTGCTTCTTCTTGTATTCAAGGATTTTATTGATTTATTGATCATTGCACTCTCTCCATAAAACTCGTGCAAAAAACCTGATCCACGTGAAATGGAAGTGCAATTGTAACCTTTCAAAGACGACCGCGCTGGTGTCCTATCTTGATCTTAGCTAGTAAAGTTTAAGAAATTTTTAGTTCCTTCCCCATCGAATTTGACCAGAAACGCTCACCTTATAGCAAAGCCAATTTTTGTAAAGCCATAATTGATCCACTTGATAAACCATGTGTCATCGCTGGATCGCTTTCCCATTGCAATATACGAATCCGGTTGCTTCCGAGATGTGCGAGTAGATCTTGATATTTCTACTCGATCAAAAGCTCATGGATAGAATATACAAAAATCTGGAAAAAAAGAAAAATTAGACAGAAAGACAGAAAGCACTCGAAAGTCAAAAAATCAGACGAAAAAAAGATGCTATGTCATAGCAATCACGAAAGTAAGTAGAGATGGAGGATTTGTGATGTGTAACTTCACAAAATATTAGGTTGGTCCGAAGGTTCTGTCCCACCATTTCCATAAAATCGTAACTTCTTCCTAACACAATGTTTTTGCATAATTAAAACCATATTAACAAGAGCAATTCATGCGCTTACAAATTCTGCCTTGGCTGCTATCTAATAAGCTCAGAGCAGAGATAAAATTGGGAAAACGAAAACACTCCAATTGCGGATGAGGCAATCCCGTTAAAAATTCCAAAACTGTGTCAGAAAGTCCGGAGCAGCCAGTATCCTAGACTATTTCAATTCCTCTTTCTGGCTGATTAAAGTTTGCGGATCGAGATGTTCTTCGAAAAGTTACGATGTTTTGAAAAGAATGTCAAAAAAAACAATTTTCTTAAGGAACTGATTTTTTGGCAATTTCTCTTAAAAATCATAACTTCTTTCAAAAGAGCTCGATCACCGCGAATTTTGTTCAGCTGGAAAGAGGGGATCAAAAAGCCTAGGGCACTGCCTGTTTTGGATTTTATGGCACACTTTTGAATTTTTTAACGGACTTGCTTGAAAATTCCGAAATTGAAGTGATTTCCTTTTCCCAATTTTATCTCTGAATTCGGAGCTTACTGAATAGCGGCCAACATAGTTTTAGAGAGTGCATTAATTGCTCTTTTCAACAAGGTTTTAGACATGCAAAATATCGTGTTAGGAAGAAGTTACGATTTTTTGAATATGGTGGGACAGAACTTTCGGACCAACCTAATACAACAGATTTGAAAATACAGATGTCCAAAAAATCTGATTTAATTCTACACAGTGCTTGCCGTAAGCGATATTGCACTGGCACGCATCAGAGATTGCGAAACGGAATTAGTGAAAGGAGAAAAGAGATCTGTGAACTTTTACGACCTTGATATGAAAGAATATCTTTGAACTTTCTTATCATACCATCTATGGTAATTTATGAGAAGGGGACTTTCCTGAAAAAGGGGCGTGGTCATGAGAAAAAGATTTGAAGTGAGCCTTTTCCGTCACTCGACTATCTGTCTAAGAAACTCTAATATCAACAAAAAAAAAGCATGGTACTTTTGCTTTCATTCAAGCAATCTTTAGAAAAACAAGATTCTGCAAATAATTCCCGTTTCCTCTCGGGTTCTTATGTAACTGCTGTTGCAGACTCTTGATGTGTTTTCCTCACGGACATGGTATATATCGAGGGGGTTCGTACTACAGTAATCCTGAAACTGTTTTTACTTTTCCGCAAATACCGTTAGTTGTACTACAACATGAAAGGTCACTTTTTCTGAAAACGTTACCTGCATGCAGCGATTTACCACACCGTGCACAAAAGTGCATGAATACAACGTAAAATTACACTACGCTGAAAATTTTGCTCTCATGATCCATTTTGGGCATCAAAGTTCTTTTATAAAATTGGAATTCGTTGAGCTTAATGTTTTCTCATTTGAATTTAATTTTTATTGGGACTTATGTGGGAAAACTTGCTTTATAGAGCCAGAGCCAGCTTTTCCAAAAAAAAAATCAAAGAGAGCATCGTTATGAAACAAAAATTTTTTTGATCACGTTTCGAAGAGCTAATCAGCTGATCGAAGGTGCCACATCTTTCCTACGCAGTAAACTTTTTTTTCCATTTTTCGAATATTTGAAGAAAATTTTTTGGAAGAATTCCACACAGCTGCCCTCACCTGTGAAAGGTCGGAAATCTTGTAGCGTTGGAGTGAGAGTGAAATTGGAAACAACTTGGAATAGAAAATTTCGCAACTTTTTGTCAACACCGCCATTTTCGGTTTTTTCCAAAAGGAACTAATTGAAATTCGAAAACCTGTCTTGAGACCCGTTTCTCATAATTTTTTGCAACATTTTCAAATTTACTGTTCTTTCTTCCGAAAAAGAAATTGCACAGGGCTGATGATGAAGAATGTTTGAGTTCAAAATGAACGAATTCCTAAAAAAATCGTTCTTTCCCTTTTGCCAGTTACATTTGGAGTATAAAAACAAGTTTGTATTTTTTTGATAAAATTAATTAGAAAGCAGCTAAATTAAATATGAATTCTCAAAAGTAACTGGGATTATTTGAACGATCAAGAATTTTGCAAACCTAAAAGGAAAATTTGAGGTAAATACGATTTTCAGTGCAAAAATTCCGCCTCCGAGAGTTTCTATACCTTGACAGTCAGAGTTTTTCGAACAACCCTAAAAATTCTGCGCTAGATTTTTTTTTCGGAATAAGTGCCTTTATAAAAAGCGAGTAGCCGTGAGGAATTGGGGCATGGGAGTTAGCAACTTTGTAAAGTCAAAATCGGAGAGCTAGTAAACATAAGTGAATGCAGCTCCTTTCGCTGGAAAGAATGGCTAGAATGTCATGAAGTGCTGGAGGAACAATGAAAGATAGACACCTGTGGCCGTATTCATCAACGAACCCAATGGGTTCCGGAACCCTGGAGTAGAATCGATATTCATCAAAAGCACTAATCCAGTGGGTTCCGGAACCCACTGGGTTCGTTGATGAATACGGCCACTGGACGAAGCAGTAAAAATAGAAAGTTGGCAATATTATGCATTTGATGAACCAGTCTTTCAAAAGAAATTTTTAGAAAATGAATTAAGCTATAATTTGGCGTTCTGGCGTGCGTTGAAACAGAAAGTCAGTATGGAAGCATTTAAAAGCTTTTTAAATGTTGCAGCAAGCTCATAGAAACTTTTAATTACTGTGAGACGAGAAAAAATCATGCCTATTGTGAAACAGGAAAGTTATAAAATTTCCTATAGAAACAGCTTTTTGCAAAAAGAAGTGAGCAACAGAACGCGAGAAGCTTAGTGAGGTAATTAACCTTCCAAGTTTCCATTGGGAAGAAGAAATGTTGCTGGTTGGCTGGAAGAGAAGGGGGAGGGCCTCGATAGTAATAAAACATTCAAAATCATACAATAGCAATCATACAACTACTGCAAAGCGTGAAACTAGCATTTGACGAGAGATACTACACCTCCAACAAATCTGCTGTTTTTTCGCATTCGAAACTGGTATGTATTGTGGCGAAGCGTAGAATGACGGTATTGAGAATAGCGAAAACGGGGTGGGAAGGCGGGCGGGGAGGGGGGGGGGGGGAAGAGAAGAGAAGCAGGGAAATTGCCAGCGGTGGGTAGTAGCTTAACTAACCATCACTGTCACAACTTATAACCAAATTCCTAAACCATCGAACTTATAGGGGACGTAATGGGTCTCGTGCGTCTCGACACGAGGCTCCGCCCCTCGCTGTGTACGTACGCGCACTCTCGAGTGCGCGTTTTGAACACATTGAGAAGGCCACTTGAGTGCGCCAATTCAAGCCCTGATTTGGACGCGGTACCGGGTTTGTTACAAGTTTCATTTTCTTGACCCACCCCTCTCCCTCTCCACACCTTAGTCATGGAAAGGTTATCATTTTAAAGATGACGTCATAATTCTAGATTTTTGACCTAGCTATAATATTTGCACTGTAATTAATCTAGCGCGTAATCGAGACCACTTCAAAGTGTGAAAAATTTACAAGAGGTTTTTGTTAGCGAATCAATCAGCAGAATAAATGTTCATAGGTCCACTGGGTATAATTCCTTGGATTGGTATGATGATGAAATTATAGACATTGATTCTAGATTTTGAGTTATTATTTTTGAGTTTATATCTTATGGCCTGTTCTTGCGAACGAATTAGGTCTACCATCTAGAGAAAACCTCACTTTTTGCAAGATTTAAAGTCCGCAAAGTGTCTATTAAAGTACTTTACGAGTAGGGGTCTATACGGATCAGAAGTGTAATAAATCACCATGAACTACACAACCGGGAAGGAAATAAAGAGGAATGTGTTACTTCCAAAACATTAAAGCATTCAGCAAAACATCGCACAAACAGCACAAGAAGTCAAAAGTCCAAAAGCTTGCTGTTACAAGCAAGTAGTGAATAATAATGAAACGCAGGTCAAGAATTCTTCCTGTGAAGGGAGGGAATGACTAGCAAAAATTTTCGACTCAGACAATTCACCGGAATTTCCGCAGGACAAGCGAAATTTGCAGCGGTTCCGCAGGATTTCGTTTACTATTGCAAAAGTGAAAACGTTGAAAAGGGAACTTCCACAAGATTTTCACGTCAGACCGGTTGAAAACCGGAACTTCCGCGGGACTTTCTACAAAGCACCGCAGCACTATAACATGCCAGTACTTCCGCAGGGTTTTGAATGTGACGTCTCGTATGATGGTTCTCGCCAATAGCTAGAGTCCATTATCGAACATGTCAGCTGTAGTGGAGAGGATAGTAGGTGAGTTTCAAAGTCAATAGAGGAAGGTTCAAATCTCGCCTAGGTGTTCTCTCTTTGCTGTTGTGATTCGCATTCTTTGGAACATCCGCAACACCTCATTCGGGAACTTCCGCAGCACTTTACGGAAATTCCGCAGGTGACCCGGCGGAACCTTTCCAATGTTCTGCGAAAGTTCCAGTCAGTTGTCTGAGGACTTTGGTAAATAATTTACAAACTTTATGGATTGCTAAACATGCGTAAGAGCCTTTTTTGAAGTCATCTATAAAAGAAAACAGTGCGGATAATTATAAGAAGGAAGGCTCTCATCAACGAATAATTTACAATCTTTATTATGACCAGCCCATGACATTATTTTTCCGAATTAATTTTTTAGTAAATAAACATATAAAACTGAAAAAAGGTGTGATAATTTGGCATTGATCCAAACTATTGTCGCATAGCTTTTTGCAGTCTGTCGCTTTCAGCGATGAAAGTGATGATCTGAAGTGACAGCTGTGCTTTTT